ATTCACATTCATCCTCATGGCGAAAACCTTCACTACAAACAGAGAATAAAGACGGGACATTAGTCTGTAGGATTTGATCCTTCTCAGTACAAATGATTCTTTATTTGTTATGTTTTTGTGTCCTGAGCTCAAATGAAGTCTCTTTACAACTGAGTGAAACTGCAGCAGAGCAGTTTGGGAGTCACCTTCATCTCTATTAGACTTCTAAGATAAGATAAGATAAACAATTATTGATCCCTGTAGGGAACTCAGGTGTTAAAGCAGCAACAGGAGTACGATTGAAACCAAGGATAGGACAGGTAAGAGTTCACACAAGGACAAAAAGAAGGAGAAATACAGAATGTAATGAACAGACTGTATAAACCGTATTCCCTATAGCTCTGAAACAATACCAACAATAATGCTAGTAATGTGGATTTGTCCAAACTATGTACATCTGTATCCTGTCTTTCTTACCGTCTCTCCTGTTGAGTTTGGCGAAGCCCGGCGCGTGGCTGCTGGACAGCTGAGAGGAGCTTCTGAAGGACGATGGAGGCAGATTGGAAACCAATGAGCTGTCACACACGTCTGTCAACCAATCACAAAGCAGAAAAAAAACGTACATTTTAAAACAAGGCTTGAACTTAAACAGTTTAAAGATGCAAATAAAGATGCACATGTGTAGACTCCGCGGTCTTAAAATCCCCACAATGCTTTGCGCACAGACCAATTTCCAAATCTTTGGCGGAAATCGCGCTCCACTTAAGGCGGGGCCTCGCATACGACGCACACCTGCACACCTGTTCCTCCATTCTTCGTTTTACGAGGCTAGGAAGGATTCTTGCCTCGCTTCTGAAGCAAGTGACTCGGAAGACATGTGCTACCAAGGAAGAGTCCTCGACATTGAGAAACACCCCCTATTTCAGGTTTCTAATCAAAAACATGTAAAAAAACTGACGGGGGAACCAGAAGTGCTAAAATGCTAACTCATTCCCGGGTTTTAGGACTCATTCCTTCAACAAGTACTGGTGATTGTAATGTCAATAAACTTCACTTATAGTTGCCACACGTTTTGCACGGCACTTCCATACTTTAGCCAGAGTAATGACCGACATGTAACATGTGCCTTAAAACGAGCTACCTTTGAATACATTATCTCTACATGCACATCAGCATCCAGTCATCGTTCCAGATGAAAAAACTGAGATGTTTGGAATAGAGTAGAAAGTTCAACAGGAGCACCACACAGAGTTCCCGTTAGCCGGTAATTACCGGACTACGACCGGTAAAATATGCTGAAGACCGGCAAATCTAAATCTCTCCGGTCAAAGCGTCCGGTCAAAATATATTTCCCCTTAGCGCAATAACGCATCAGTTGTGCAACTTGCGCCACTTATGTGACAGACAAAAGAGTATGTGACAGACAAGAATAGTCAATTCTACTGTCTAACACGTAATGTGGAGAAAGAGATGTCCTGTATGGGTTGATTGTGCGTTGATCTGTTGGTAATGCCTCGGGGTTCCGGTCGGCATGTAAACAAATGCATAATGCTGCGCTATAGACAAGTTTACGCGCCAAACCACGGGTAGCGCCATAACCCTACACAAATGCACTTCATTTCCGCCGGAAGTCTTTTGCACAGCGTCTGTCGGTGTAAACCGGTGTAAACAGTCAGACGGGCACTGGTGTAAACACAGCGATTTCGATGCTAACAGTGATGCTAGCTTGGGAACACGATTCTACTTCTTTGACTGGAGATGGCGTTACTCTCCCCCACCGAATTCAGTGCAANAGAGATGTCCTGTATGGGTTGATTGTGCGTTGATCTGTTGGTAATGCCTCGGGGTTCCGGTCGGCATGTAAACAAATGCATAATGCTGCGCTATACTTTGCGGCCTCACCCGGTTGCATAGCGACGCTTATTGTTTAGGTGTCTTTTAATAAGCAGGTAGTCATATCATTAGCTAGAACTAGCTAGCTAGCTATTTTAATTACCTCTCAAACTAGTTATAGATATGTTTAGTTTTACTGTCGGGTCACTCATTACTGATCCGCGAGCTGCATGATACTGACGGGCTGTCAGGAGAGGGAGAGAGCGCTCCGTTTATTATTCCTGTGTTATTGTAAATTACTGTACACTTTTGAATAATGTAGTTAATCTACTATAATTACTTTGTTTAATATCGAATCATATCAATTTGTTTTAAAGCTCAATAAATAACAACTGAGACTGCCAAGGCACACANTTACTGATCCGCGAGCTGCATGATACTGACGGGCTGTCAGGAGAGGGAGAGAGCGCTCCGTTTATTATTCCCGTGTTATTGTAAGTTACTGTACACTTTTGAATAATGTAGTTAATCTACTATCATTAGTTTGTTTAATATCGAATCATATCAATTTGTTTTAAAGCTCAATAAATAACAAAGAGTCAAATTGTGTCCGGAAGATTTAAACTTTAACGGACATGTTGACCGGCGAAAAAATATTCTAACGGGAACTCTGGCACCACAACACTAAGAGATTCAAGAAAGGCTAAATACCACAAGCAAAGGGCAGGATCACCAGGTTGTTGTTTGTCTCAAGAGCTGAGGTGTAGAGTTGCATCAATGATTCGGCTGGTTAAATGTCAGCCAAGTGAAAGCAGGCCTTTGACATTACACTGCAGTCTGTCAGCAGTTTAACACAGGAACCTCTCCTCTCTCAGAGTGTAAACATTATTAAGGGTCAAAATCATAAAAGGAGATGTGTCCAAACTCTTCTCCAGAGTGGAAAACACAGCTGAGGGGTCTCCAGTTAAAACCACGCTGAGGATATCACAATATCACACGCAGCTGGAGATAGATTATCATTTCCCATCTGTTCGTCTGAGAGAAAGTGTTGAGTTGTTAAAGACAGAAGGACGAGAGTGCACTGAGGCTGAGACGGGGAAATAATCGGCAATAGAGAAATAAATGATGTCATCGAATACGGTAATACACAAAGAAACCTTTAAATCAAACGTTTGTCACAGCTTCATCGTCATTCCTTTTGAGTCTGTGGATATTAGCGAGTGGCACTAATCACAGAGAGGCATGCTTCATGTCCCCAGGTGGAAACAGGTCTTTCAGCTGTAATGGCACCATACAGTAGGAGATGAATGAACTGTGTAATAATGTTGTAGCAGGACAGGGGGGGAAGTAAACGACACACCCTAGAGATTCCCCTGAGAAAAAGGG